AAACTATCTTTTTGGATTATTTCGCGGATTTATTTTGATTTTTGGTTCCCGACGTTTCGAATGCTTTACAGCAATCATAATCACGGGAGCGATTAAGATTTTAGACGTCTCAAGGCATTATATACCTACTTGGTACTTGTTATATATTATAACGCGAAATAATCCGAAAAGATTGTTATATTTTAAATTATTAAGTAACTTGAAAAATACACCAAAAACCAAAATATCTTATAAATTAAGTGTTTTTAAAATTGCTATTAAAAATAAATTTTAACTGAACTTAAAAGTCAACAAATGAGATCTTATGTCATTGATATACTTATCTTAAGTGTGTTAACCATTAACGTTCCCTACAACATAGTCATAGTTTCGATACTTACTTATTTAATTTCGTTGTCTATTTCTCACTCTTTTTGTCACACAATAGCGTGAACTGTTTATACTCGTATGTATTACTTCTTGTATTGCTTGTGACTTCTTGCACTGCACTTTATTAAATGCGCTTTCTGATATTATAGCAATTGTTATATATATGTATATATATATATATATATATATATATATATATTATTATAGTGTTTGTCTGTCTGTCTGGGAACGCATCATGAGAAAACCACTGGACGGATTTTGATTAAATTTCATACGGTGATAGCTCAACATATAGGATACTTTTTACTGCGGGAAAATATCTCATCCCTGAGAAATCTATACATATAATAAAATTGTAACTAAGACGAACATTAGATATTTTTGGAAAATCTTATTGAAATAAACATTATTATCGATACAGAGGCCGAATCTATAGTTTTTAGATTTTTTGTCTGTCTGTCTGTTACCGCATCACAAAAAAACCACTGAAGGCATTTTTATGAAATTTAGTATAGCTGGTTATCCGGGTCAATATATAGGATACTTTTTACCCTGGGAAAATACCTCATTTCTAAGAAAAAAAATACAAAAACTGCAATGTAAGAGTATACTAATACGTAAAAGCTAAGGATTTAGTTTTTGGTCATCCGAACGCGGGCGAAACCGCGGGCAATGCTAGTCTATACTAAATGCTAAAACGTAGCTTTTAACGTCGCTTGTCGACTATAAAATTGTACAGTAGATTTTAAATGCAAAATCCCGCAAACATAAGAGTTAATGAAAATCGTCAATCCAACAGCGCATAATTGGGCCGGCAACCTGCCTAGTGTAACAAAGAGCCGAGCGACATTGTCTGCTATAGGTTTATTAGCTCGATGTACTATCGCAAGTTAACAAAGCGAAACGCCATATTATCGAGTCAGTGTGCCTATCAGCCGTTATAGAGCTGAAGTAGGCACAACAGAACCGCCGATAGCTCCACGACTTTTTGTTTCATACCTACCATTAATTGATAGGTAAATCTTTCGTATTATGTAACAGACGTCTTTATGTAACAAGCTTTTATTTAACTTACAATGTTTGTATGTTTGTTTGTTTGTTTGGGTCAAATCTTGCAACTGCATTTTAAAGCAGTTTTTTAGTTTAGTTTTGCATACACGTTTAGTTTAGATGTCATGCATAGTTGGGTAAGTGACGTCATTCTAAATCAAACATGGCGGAATCTATATTATTTTTAAGCACCCCATGATATGGATATCAAATGAAATTCAGTACTAAACTAGCACTCTTGAGGTATTAACACCTCCAGGTAAATTTCTAAGAAATTAATTAAATTTCTAAGAAATCTATTGTTAACTGTAACGCCGGCGTGTCCGCGGTCGTGGAGGGATTAAGATACGATTGTATTGAATTTTATGATAAATCTTATTATCTCTCCATTTTTTTTCGTTTCGAATTTGTTTGGTTTATTTAATGATTTCCGTCATCCAATTTCCTTATTTAACAACTGTCTTACGACCATTTTATTTTGAACACAAACCAATGTATCGCCTTAATGGACCGACTATATCCGAAATATAGGCGTAAGGGGAAATAGAAGATATTATCTACAACATAACCCTTTGTACCCTCCCATTCATTATTCCTTTCACGATTCCAAGTGGAGAACTTTGTACGGTAACGCCGAGTGTTACTCAAATAATAACACATAAGATCGTCAGTTATTTCATCTCAATTACGTAAGAACTACATTTGACCCCTCATTTTCGGTGGAATTCGCTTACCTGCAGAATATTTATTTGGGGATGAGACATCCATAGCGTAAATGGGTCATAAAGTCCCGAAAATAAGCGGTCCTATATTCGATTCTGTGCAGCTCCATTATTTATTAGGGAAATGGACTCAGATTATTCATCCATTCTATTAAATAAGCTGGCAATAATTTTGAAAATTACTAGTACATAAAAATTTGTCATTTGTATCATGCTAGTAAATTAAAAAAAAAAAATATTAAAAAATAAAAAGTAGTAATTAATGATTTGATTCGGTATAGGGGATTTGATAAAATAAAATATATATTCCACATTAGGAATTTTTCATACAAAAGCTACAAAAGATAAAATTGGTAAGATAAATTTTCCTTCCAAGTCTCACGATCGGTGTAATAAAGTATATCTTCAGAAAATCTACACAAAGTATTTATGATCAGAATTACTTGAAACTTGGCATTAATGCTCTTCAACACAATTAAATAATTACGTGTTTTAGCATTTTTCAAAATTCATCATCATAAGAGGCTAAAATAGGAAATGAAAGTGTGTATGAAGCCTACCTTTTTTAGAGATTTTTTTGTAGTTTGAGCGCGAGCGAAGCCACGGGTTCTACTAGTATTAGAATTTTATTATAAGGTTATAAATCAAATAATCATTTTGAAGCTGCTACAATATCCATTACATGTTTAATTTAGTTATGAATATAATAATATTATGTTAATGAATGAGCTGTGAATTGCAATTCACTCTCATCATATAATTATCTCTACCTACAAACATTTTTAATTATATTTCATTTGATGTATGTTGTTTATTAAAGGTTAATCCTACAGTTGTCATTACACAGACAATGATATATTATAAAAAACTAGCATTGCCCCCGGCTCCGCCCGCGTTCAGATAATCTAAAACCAAATTCTTAGGTTTTACATATTTGTATACTCTTACAATGCAGTTGTTGTATTTTTTCTCAGAAATGAGATGTTTTCCCGCGGTAAAAAATATCCTATATGTTGACCCGGATAACCAGCTATCACCATATCAAATTTCATCGAAATCCTTCCAGTGGTTTTTCTGTAATGCGGTAACAAACAGATAGACAGACAAAATTGTAAAAACTATATTTGGCCTCTGTATCGATAATAATGTACATTTCAATAAGATTTTCCAATAAATATTTAATGTACAGATTCGGCTTAGTTACAATTTTATTAGGTATATGTATAGATTTATAGATTCACTAGCGACTTACCCTTGCTCCGCTCGGATTCGTCCCTAAATACCTTACGGCGGTTAGTATGGAATATGTACATATAAATAGAGTTTTATATCCCTTACTTGAGAAATGATTGATTCCCCATACAAAGTTCCACCCCGCTTTTCACCCCGTTAAGAGATGATTTCCGGGGTAAAAACTATCCTATGTCTTTCCCAGGGTCTCAAACTATCTCCATACCAAATTTCGTCTAAATCGATTCAGCGGATTAAGCGTAAAAAGGTAACAGACAGACAGAGTTACTTTCGCATTTATATTATATTAGTATGGATTATTAAATTATTCAATTTATTTTTTTTCATAATCAAGAAGATTGATGTTGTTAAATAATTGGGTAACTAAGTGGAAAGGTATGAAAGAAGACGAAATATTAAAGCTGTAAATGCAACAAATATCTTCATTGTTTTTATTCATTTGATGACACGTTTGGCTCAGTTTGTAGTGACCCTACTTGCTGTGCCAGCGGTCGCGGGTTCGAGTCCCGCTGGGGGCATTCATTTGTGTGATGGGCACGAATGTTTGTACTCCAGTCATGGGTGTTTATATTTATAATAGTATGTATTTAAAAGTTATATGTGTGTAGTGTATCAACTATCTGGTATCCATAACACAGGCCTCGTAGCTTATCATGGAACTAGAGGGTGCTGTGTGTTAATGTCCCAACATATTTATTTATATTTATTTATTATTTATTATCCGGCTTCAAAAAAGGAGGAGCTTCTCAATTCGTGGGAATCTTTTTGCTTTGATTTATATTGGCTGGCGCCGACTTCAAAAATATCTGATTTGGTATCTACAGTAAATGAAAACTCCCATTTAGTTAGTTTTAATTTTTAGTGTTTTGAAGTCTGTTTTTTTCTAAGTTTTTATTTTGCATCATACCTAGTAATCATCGATGGGTCTCATGGCATGAGGGATTTTCGTACTCGTTAGGCTACTCGATGAACCGGTTCAAAATCCAAATAGTATCATTTGTTTGATAATAACTTTTTAATTAAAAGGATAAGCCACTTTAACATCATTTTAAGTGTAATTTTCTTAATTTTATGAGTGAAAACTGTCTTGAAATTTATATTTAAACATTGCTTTTAAACCTTACTGCTAAAAAAAATAAAAAATAACACAATCTGCGAAGATATCGAGTAACACAATACACAAAAGATACACTCCATTTAAGTCAATGAAAAATTTCAGTTTTAAGCATCTTTTTTTTTTCAATTTAATTGGTCATTACATAGCCATGGTTATTTGTAAAGGTTTATCCCCTATTGAATGTCTTGTACTCGCAAGGCCGAAAGATAAACAGTTACCATTTCTAGAGATGATGTAGTAAATAACAAAGTTATCTATTCAATTAGTTATTTTATTTAAATCTATATATACATATTTAAATATGTTGGGACATTGACACACATCACCATCTAGTTCCATGGAAAGCTACGAGGCTTATGTTATGGATACCAGATAGTTGATACACTACACATATATAACTTTAAATACATACATATTATAAATAGTACATAAATGTAAAATATACAAACTAACATATCATAATAATTTATTATTTTTGTTCTCAGGTAAAAATGTCCTCACCATCCAAGAAACGTTTTAAAAAGCAAACTTGGTGCAAGAGATTAATCTATAAACGATTACCTATCACAAAATGGTTTCCTGAATACAATTCGGAAAAGGCTCTAGCGGACTTTATAGCTGGAGTTACAGTGGGACTTACGGTTATACCGCAGGCATTGGCTTATGCGACACTCGCTGGGCTACATCCTCAGGTAAATATATATTATACTTTTTATATAATTATCATGTGTGTTTGTTGACTGTAGTACGTACGAGTATATTATTAATATGCATTTTTTCACAGGTATAGAGCTAATGGTTAAAATTGTTTTTATTTATGTATATTTTAATATGTATATATTATTTCTTATTGCGACTATTTGCTCGTAGTTAATATTTATTATAATTTTGGCGGCTATAATAATAACTTATATTTACAAGAAATTAAAAAAATATTACAATTGAAGCAAATAGGTACAGATTATATCTCGTAAACAATATACTAAAAAGCAAAAAAAACGTGTGTTTGTGCTTATGTACGCACGGAAGAAGCTATTTGGCGTAACAGAGCAAAAATAGCTAACTTCATCACGTCGCTTTTTGGCTGTCGCATAAATTTTTCTCTCATAATTTTTTCCAAACGTGCAAAAGAAGTATAACTTCAAAATAATAACACAATATAAATGCGTCTTTTTATTATAAATTGTGTCAATAAAAAAGAATCCATACGAACCTTATTTCAATATAAGTTCTATAGTAAGAACAAAACCTTGTACTACGTTAGTTTCTTTGCTTCTGTGTCAAGTCGTAAAACTCAAACCCTTAATTCAGTTCGTTCGTCCCGTTGCTTTCTTTTCCCTAGGGTTTACAACCTATCACGATGAAATTTCGAAGACAGATGTGCCTTGAGAATCGAAAACAGCCGTAAGTAAAAAATATTTATTGCCACCCGTCAAATAGATAAAGGAAAGATTTCCCCGTGGAAAAATTATAATTTTTACATGAAAATGATAACAAAATCAATAAAATTTTTTGCTAAATCTCAGAGCATCTGTAATAGAGGGTTTTTATTTGTTATTTTTTTCATGTATATATATATATATATATATATATATATATATATCTTGCTAAATTGGGACACTAAGATTTTTTTACGTCAAGTATAAAAATTGAATCATTTTTAACTGAACAATTCTGTAGCAACCGATAAATAATGAGACTAATCAATTAGGGAGTGAACGTCTAACACAAATCATCTATTATATTGAACTCAATTGTTCTATAGTCCATACAATTACTAATAATAATAGGTAGCACTTTGTATTGAAAATATCAAATATAGGATGCAGCGTTACAAATTTACATACAAGGACATACATTCATTTATCTATACATATAATAAAATTGTAACTAAGCCGAATCTGTACATTAAATATTTTTTGAAAATCTTATTGAAGTAGACATTATTATCGATACAGAGGCCGAATCTATACTTTTTAGATTTTTTGTCTGCCTGTCTGTATGTCTGTCTGTTACCGCATCACGTAAAAACCACTGGAGGGATTTTGATGAAACTTGGTATAATGATAGCTGGTTATCCGGGTCAACATATAGGATACTTTTTATCGCGGGAAAATATCTCATTTCTGAGAAAAAATACAAAAACTGCATTATAAGAGTATACTAATATGTAAAACCTAAGAATTTAGTTTTTGGTCATCTGAACGCGGGCGGAGCCGCGAGCTATATATAATCCAAATTATTTTAAATCCAATAATTTTATCAAAAGTTTTACCATTATGGCATATTGTCATCCAAACGACCACTCATGGAATTGCCACATTACAAAATAACGAAGAGAAATTAATCTGCATTATGACATACATTACGAGTCTGCTCTCACAATCGAAAGTGGTGAATGTGAATAAACCTCAGCCCATTCGCTAATACCATTATTGTCTATTGCGAGTGTGTGAAACAACTAGCAAGCGCATTTAATATTGTATGCTTCGATACGAGTCAAGTTTAAACCTATATTTGTTTTTCTATAATGTTTCATAATAACTTAGCTTTTATTTAATACTAGCATTGCCCGCGGCTCCGCCCGCGTTCAGATGACCAAAAACTAAATTCTTAGGTGTTACATATTAGTATACTCTTACATTGCAGTTTTTGTATTTTTCCTCAGAAATAAGATATTTTCCCGCGGTAAAAAGTATCCTAGGATCGCGCGCTACATCGCCCGGTTTATATAGCTTGAGCAGGCGGTCGAGCGATGCGGGGCAGAGGGGATGGACTCGCCGTAGGCATCTCAATGCTCGCCAAGCATTAAAAATGTTTCGCTACTAATTACTTCTAACAACGATATCTCAAAAACTATTCATCTGATTGATTTAGTGTAAAGAGCAATTTTAATCTGCATTAAATGACTAAGCTAACTAAAATATTCATTTGGATAAGGATTAATACCGAACTAAAGAAAATAACTTTGAAAATAACGTAATGTTTTTAATTAAAAATGTTAACATAAAAGTGGTTATTGTAAGTCAACCGTAAGAGATAGAGATATGCTATCGCGGACTTTTTTGTAGCATTTTTATAGATTTTGAATTCTCTAGTACATTACTTAACTGTATCTTTGCTAGTTTACGCGGCGTTCGCGTGGAAAGTTCCCATTTGGCGAGATTTTTTGCGACCTCTTCAACATTTGTCGCCGTATTTCAGCTAATTTACATAAAAGCATAATAAATTATATACCTAAACCTTCCTCAAGAATTACTCTTTCTATTGTTGAAAACCGTATAAAAATCCGTTCAGTAGTTTTCGAGTTTATCCGTACAGACAGACAGGAGGACAGAAAGACGCGGCCGGGGGACTTATTTTTATAATAAGTATAGATTATTGAATTTTCCGTAGCTTATATTACTTTTAGATAATGTATCCTTCCAATGGTTAGAGAATTAATAAAATCGGTCCAGTAGTTTTAGAGTTATTGGATTACAAATAAACAGAACAATTTTTAATTTTTACCCGACTGTGCGACGTAAAAAAGGGTAATGTGTTTATGTATGTTTGTTTCTATGTGGCGTTCTAGACACGAGATTTGGAGAGAGATCTAGAAAGTTCTAGATTTGTCTTGATAACGCGAATGTCATAGGCTATATAAAAATAGTTAAAAATTAGAATGGCGTATTTCCGGCGCCAATTCGTGTGTGTTTAAAAAAATTGAGTGAGGTATCGAAATAATGTTTTTAAGGGGCCATCACAAAAATATAATATACAACTTATGTTTAAAAGTAATTTAGGATAAAAAGTTGCTAAATATAACTTCAATTTTTTCTAATTGGCAAAAACTAAACAGCTGTAAAAAAAAATATATTATATAAATAAAAAACCCTACTGCATAATGGCTTACTAAAAAGATGAAAAAAAAGCTGACGAAGGAATAAAGTATTATGGACTCGGAGACATACCTACATAATATGTACATTGTACGTTTCGCGGCAAGGATGATACGTGTATGTCTCCGACTGCATAATACTTTATTCCTTAGTCAGCTTGTGTTTATTTTTTTAACTAGCTTTTATGCAGTCGGGTTTTTAATTTTTATATATTTTTTTATTATTCTTTATAATATAAGTATAGTGAGTGTAGACTTTTTACGTAAAATATTCTGCTATGCCTTTAAATTTTTTTCCTATTTTCTCTATATTAACTTAAATACAAAAAAGACATGATACAATTCTAAAAAGAGCTTCCTCTTTTTGCTGTCGATCAAGTAAATGTTACGATATCAGTAACAGCAAGTCATTGATCCCTAAGTCGTTACAATGTGAAAAGTTCATTTAACATGAAATACTAGATTAGATACATTTTAGTACAAGCTTTAGATTATTGTATGATTTTTTTTAATTGATACTTACGTGATATTAATTTTTTTAGCTTTAGTTAAAATATTCATATTTAAAGTGTTTCGTGTAATTCAATAGGTTTTACGTTTAAGGTTCAAACCGTTGCAAAAGGTCCAACAAATTCGAATACTTTATACATATTACAATAATTTAAGTTAATATGTCCATATTCATTATATTTTTTTGTTACAGTATGGCCTCTACTCGTCGTTCATGGGATGTTTTGTGTACCTAATATTTGGTTCGTGTAAGGACATAACGCTTGGTCCGACTGCTCTGTTAGCTCTCATGACGTATGAGCAAATACAGGGGAGAAACTCCGACTATGCAATACTCCTGTGCTTCCTAACCGGTGTAGTTCAGTTAGCTATGGGAATATTGCATTTAGGTATGTTTATTGATGCGTCACCTTTTTTGAACACTAGCAGAACCCGCGGCTTCGCTCGCGCTAAATCTATAAAAAAAACTCTTTGGCTTGGTGCTATTAGTAATAATGTATCGAGGTCTGTCCGATTTGTTGATATTTATGATTAATTTCCCTTTACTTGGGTGGTTCACATGATGATGTGTAGGGTATAGCCTTACTCAATAAACTGGTTATCTATATTATTACAAAAAGAATTTTTCAAATCGGATTAGTAGTTCCCGAGAATAGCGCGTTCAAACAAGCAAACAAACACAAACAAACAAACAAACAAACAAACAAACTCTGCCTCTTTATAATATTAGTATATATATTTTTAGTATTATATTTAAGCTTCTTAAACAATATTTCACGTCTTATGCATCTTTACGTTAATTTATTAAAAAAAACTAGCAGTACCCGTGGTTTCGTCCGCGCTCAAACTTCCAAACGCTACCAAACTTCACAGGATCACCCGCTGGGGTGATCTGAAAATTTCATCAAAATCACACATCGATTTTTGTATATTATATAAATAGATTAGCTTGTAAACATAAAAGTAAACCCCACCCGTCCATAGAACTATATACATTGTCGTAGCCCCACATTATTGTAATATGACCAAAAAAAATGTATTTTTTAAAACTAACGTCTACCTAGCATTTTCGCTTCCATCGTGTCAGATGACTGCAAAATTGATTATTATATTAAAATTATTCAGTTAATACGTATTATTAATTTAATTCCTATGTAATAAAAATGCCATTTGTTAGCAAAAACGTTATGAGCTCTAAATATTTTAGTGTTGTTATAAGATTTCTTTTAGTTTCACAATTTTTAATTAGTTATTCTTTCAATCATAAATGAATAGCAAAGAAGAAATTTTCTAAATAATAGTAAAAACCGTATTAGTGTGCGTTGCGTAGTTCAGAAAAACTAAGAGCACAAACAAACAGACATGAATATATTCAGACTATTTAAAGATTAGTTAATAGTTTAATGAGAAGCGGATAACCTACGTTTATCGATCGGAAAATGAATCTGCAGGCGCTCATGTAGTTATTTATTAGGTTTTACATACTATAATAACTAGTTTTGTCTTTAGGCTTATTGTAGACTATACATACATACATAAATTCTTAAAATTATGTTAGAGAGTAGAGACTTACCATCGCTTCGCTCGAGAGCGTCCCTAGATATGTTTTAATTTTTTTGAACGGAACAATAATTATTTTTCTAAAATAAAGCCAGCCTTAGTTACTCCTTATAACGTCAGCTATCTGCCAGTGAAAGTCCCGTCAAAATCAGTCCAGCCGGAACAAACAGACAGATAGACAAATTTTTTTTTCTTATAAGTACTGTATCTAATTTAATTTGCATTTAGTAAAATGTTGTTATTTTGGCATTACAGACAGTTGAATTTTATTTATCTCTATATTTTTTTACTTTTCAACAGGTGTCCTGATAGATTTTATATCTGTGCCAGTGACAGTAGGGTTCACTTCAGCTACGTCTGTCATCATCGCAGTTTCACAGCTCAAAGGATTATTGGGACTTCAGTTCAAATCCAGGGGATTTATAGATACTTTGAAAAAGGTTTGAAAAATTTGAATGTTTTCAATAATTATCTGTAAATAATATAGCTATTTAGTTCATAGCAAATATATTGTTATATTATTTTCAATAGTTATTTTGTTTGATAGATACTGACTTCTGCGCGATATTATAATTTACTTCGAAAACAATTAACATAAACCTTAAATTTATATACCATAATTCGGGTAACTGAGTTTAAAATTTCATTATAATCACTAAGTGATTCATGTATGTATATAAATTCAATAAGGCAACAATTTCTTAAAAAAGGCATTAATTATTCTGCCCTTAGAGATTTCTTCTGAATTTATATGGTACCATATATTTAATAAAAATAGAAATATGAACATAGAATTACAATTCTCGAAGATATCGCGTAACATATCTACAAAAACCTCCTTTTTTATAATCGGTAAAAAAAATTCAATGTTTAAAATGGATATTGCTTAAAACTATAGCTCTATATATTAAGCTGAGCCTGTATTCTTTACTTTTTTAAATTTAACTATCTAAGTATCTACAATTCCTTGCTACTTCTACGTAAAAAAAAGGTTGATCCCACCACCACGTGGAATATATGGCTATATAGGAAGAGAAAGAGAAAGAGAGAGAGAGAGAGAGGTTATTTTTTATTATCACCTATTAATATATAATAATTTACTTTACAATAAATAAATAATTTGCTCATATACATTTTATTACACATAGATTATTGTTGTAGGTGTTCCTAAACTTACCAAATGCAAAATTGGCGGATAGCACCTTAGGAATAACGAGCATAGTTGTTCTGCTTCTAATGAGGGTAAGTTATTAATTTTGTTAAGCACTTTTGTATCGGGAAATAATAATAATAATAATATATTAATATCGTATTTTAAATTTGATTTCCTTCATAAAATATATTTACAAGTCATGGATTATGTACTTACATGTAGTACTTTTATTGATTTAGATACAGGGCCTTAATAGCATTATGTATTTTCACGTACCGTTTTAATAATTAAAAGACTTATATATATATATATATATATATATATATATATATATATATATATATATATATATATATACATTTATATTATATTATATTTTTATTTATTATATAAGGTTAATTAATAAAATAATTTTTGATTAAATTTATATTACAACACATGTATGAAACGATTCTGAAATAACCTTCATTTGAAACTACCTTGCTTTTTGTCTAATCCAATTTGTATATAATATCGATGATAAAAAAATAAATAATGATTTTATCTATATAACGTTTTTTTTTTAACATGAACTTATACTATTTATCGCTACGATATCTTTAATGTATATATGTAACATTAGAACAGTGACATACATGCTATCAGTTATGGGATCATGAACACACTCAAAGCTCTTCAAATACTAATGTAATCGACTTTGCAACATTATCGATTTGCAGATCAATATTGGTTATTATAGATTTTATAGACTAGTTGTGCCCGGCGGTTTTATTAGGGTCCGTTGATCATTAGCTTGACGCATTCATTACACAATTTTGTGAGACATTACCTATAATATTCGTGTCTTCTCCATTTTTCGTGATAGACAGATAGATGCATTGACAAGAGAATTGAATGACATTATATTATAAACTAGCAACTCACCCTCGCTTCGCTCGGGTTTGTCCCTAGGTACGTTTTAACGGTGAGTGTGAAATACATATCTTTGAATTTCTCGGCTTTTCTGTACTATAATATGCATGTATATAAACCTTCTATGTATATAAACTATATAAATATATAAACCTTTCACTTGAATCACTCTATCTATTGCTAAAAATTGCATTAAAATCCGTTGAGTAGTTTAAAAGATCTAAGCGAACAGACAGCGGAAGCGACTTCATTTTATGCTATGTGAAAATTCAAAATTACAAAAAGGAGAGAGGGAGTACATACGAGAATGCTGTCGAGCATTACCTAATTAATAGCGAAATTATGTTGTAGCACATTTCGTTCAATATTGTAATATTTACTATAGCTCAGTAACTATAACAATTTAGTTTTCGAGAAACATCTGTCTTATTTTTAAAGGTTTACCTACATGTATTCCATTTGTCATGAAGGGCTGTCCTGTGGTTTTTTTAAATATCTTTCACAATTTATTATAAAGGCGTAAGAAAATAATTATGAAAAAATTTGGAGGTTGGTATAAAATTACTTTTTAAATAACTGATATATCTGTATAACCAACAGTATAAAGTAAAATGGCTGTAACATAAGGACATGACGGAGCTCTATAAATTGAATAAAAAACAGTTATCGTTTGATTTAAAAAATAATATTTTATATTGGTAATTAATAATTACTGATAAAAAATAGCCGTTTCGATCTGTTAACTCCTCCAGGTAAATTTTTAAAAAATTAATTAAACTGAGAAATTCATTGTTAACTGTAACACCGGTTGCCCGCGATCTTTGAGGGTTTAGTCAGTTACACATTATTTATCAATCGCGACCTTAATCTACTTTCACTTGCAGAAAATATCTTTAAATGATTTTATATATTAAGCATATAAGGATCGAATTGCTTCACACTATATACAATGTAATAGTAAGAAATTGTAAGCCAATACCTTTCATTAAGTTGACCCTCATATCCAAATATGTATGTATGAAGTCATACTTATAATATTACCAATATTTAATAATTATTATTAATTAGCGTATATCATGAAAGATATTTGATTTAATTTACAAATATAGGTACGTCTTTTCAATAAAAACTTTCAAAACAAATATAAATTAATATAGTATAGTATTGTGCCAATATGTTTTATGATTGCGAATATTAAAATTAGCTTACTGAAATAATGTACTATTACTCGAAAGCCCAAACTGTAAAAATATTGTTTATAGATATAAAAAAAAACAATATTATTATAAATAACTTAAGTAAAAACAAAACAGCTCAGTACCTTTTTCTACTGTTTGTCAACCGATTTTATCTCTTATTTGTTTAATAGCTTATTAACCATAAAAAAGATCAATAATTATTATGATCAAGTCCTAGTTACATTAATTACGGTAAAAAAATACTTTATTTATTATAATTTTTTTTATTTACAGTTTTTTAGTTTTGGTCAGTTAGTTATTTTTAGTTTTATTTAATTAATAATTTCTTATCCTAAATTACTCTTAAACATATAAGTTGTATATATTTTTGTAATCGCCTCTAAAAATCCTGTATTTTGATAACCCACTCAATTGATTCGGACATTTTTTTTTGTTAATACACAAATTGGCGCTTTGTATCTGCCATTTTGATTTTTAATGATATACCCTATGACACTCACGATATCAAGACGAATCGAATGACGTGTGAATAATTAAAATCGTTTAAGCCGTTTAGTAATTACGAGGGAAAATAGGATCGGACACACATACATACAAGTCAAATACATAACCCTCCTTTGGGCTTCTCTACAGGGTAAAAATAGTGGCTTCAATGTTGGTAGATTTTAAAAAACAACGAAAACGTTATAAAGAGTGTGTAGCTTAGTAATTTGATGTACATATATTCACTTATAATTACTCTAATACCAGGGTAGGAAGCAATCAGTATCATTTGTTAATCCCTCCACGACCGCGGACAAGCCAGCGTGTCAGTTAATAATAGATTTCTTAGAATTTTAATTAATTTCTTAGAAATTTACCTGGAGGTGTTATAGTATTATTATGTGAAAAAAATTCTTAAAAACCCTGATCATTCAACTGACTTCTAATTATAAGAATGATTAAAATAAAAATGTTTTAATAGTTGAGTTAGAACTTAAATCCTGAAACTTTATTAATAATTTAGTTATATGAAAATACCAGTTCATTTATGTGATGATGATGATGATGTTCTCCTAGCCGATTCCGGCCACGGCGGCCAATCTTAATGAGATAAGCCAACTGCGCAGGAGATATTATAGTGCTCAAGTGTACGCGCAGACACAACGTGCACTCTCTATTCCTATCACTCTCATACTCCGGTGGGACGACCACTCGACACTCGCGGTGAGAGTGTCGGCGCAGGACCGACGGCTTTACGTGCTCTCCGAGGCACGGGGGTGAAACACCGCAAACTTCCCAACTCCGGGCTGTTACTGAGACTTACTATACAGGAAGACTCAATAACTAAACTTGGCCTGACCCGGGACTCGAACCCAGGACCTCCGGGTGTGCAGCCGTACATGCTAGCCACTACACCACCGAGGCAGTTATGAGTTACCGAGTCATTTATGTAGAGACTAGCTGATTATTGTAGAGAAATTTCTATACAAAAATTTTATTTAAAATCTACATTAAGAGGTTCGCCATTTTCACTAAATATACAGTTAATTAATCCCCGTATCGCGTGCATTGCGTGTTAGCAGTTACCTTTATATTATCTATTTTTAATATAACGTGCTTAGGTTACATAATCACCTCCCCTATTATCAAAAGAGCAATAAACTAAAGCACCTCTCGAATAATAAGGGTTCGTAAGTCTTTATAACGGAAATTAAGATATTGATACATTAAAGCTAACCTGCAAGATATACATATATTGTAAATGATTGCGATATAATTAAAGAAATTGTTCTATTACGCTGAAATACGCTGTAAGAGGAGAAATAACGTTTTATTTTTATGTTAAATTCAATTGAAAATTAATTATGGACTGTTAAGTAATTTATTTATTCAATGGAACCCAAGTCTCTAGCGAACGCAATGAATAAATAAACAACAATAAATAAACAACAATAAAGCATTATGTTAAATAATAATAATTATCTTTTAATCTTTTGTCTTTTAAATTATATTGTTTTATTTCTATCTCAGAAACTAAAACTTTTGTTGAAGTCTTTAAATTTCACAACACAAGGTAATAACTTTGACAATTCAATCTAAAATAATAAAAAGGTTCCATATTATTATTGATGGAAATATATTAGTAACTTATTTTAATTTTTTAAGGTTTTGATAGCCAATATCGGAGCACTTATTTCAAAGGAGATACGTTAAATACATACTCGTAGTATTAAGATACTGGATATTTGCCGTTCCACGCATTTGGCTACAAAATCAACTTTGTTTCTCATATATGCGATTAGTAAAATATGTTATTTTCTTTTAAACATACTACATATACGAAAAAATAACAAATTTAATTATTTATCTTACACAACCCTCGATCTGCGTGTCAAACTCACACTTATCCGTTTTTTTTTATATTTAGGTTAAAATATATGAAAATCTTTTGAGATTCAAGCAATGAAATATGTACTTTTGTTTCAGAAAATGAAGGACATAAATTTGCCGCAAAGTCAAAAAAGTTTGAAGAAGGCATTATGGCTGTTGTCGACTTCGAGGAACGCCATAATCGTACTGCTTTGCTCAGTAATGGCATTCGCATGGGAGTCACACTCGGAATCTCCCTTCAAACTCACTGGCACTGTAAAGTAGGTTATTACTTTCGAACTGTTTTATTGTACGTACAGTTTATGTTTACTGTTAAAATATTTTTATTGTATGTCGTTTTACATCGCAAAGTTGAGAAAAATTACTATTCATGACGCGTAGTTTCGAAATTTATACATATAATAAAATTCTAACTAAGTCGAATCTGTACATTAAATATTTTTTGGAAAATCTTATTAAAATAGACATTATTATCGATACAGGGGCCGAATATATAATTTTTAGATTTTTTGTCTGTCTGTCTGTCTGTTACCGTATCACGCGAAAACTACTGGACAGATTTTGATCGCTAGTATTATAATATAACGTATAACTGTAAACGTGTAAAAGTATCTAAGTAGCTTATTCGATTTCGGATAATATTTTGTGTAAATAAGAATTTATTAATGTATTTCATAATTTTGTAAAGCCTATTAAATTGTTTATAGCTCTTGTTACGCTGAGGTAATATGTAAGGTATAACTAACATTGTTCATCTCAGGTTTCTAGTTTGATTCTGTATAGGGTAATACTTGTATTGATTATACAAATAGCCTAATTAGATAAATCAGTGCGATGTTAGACACCAACGTAAATTAAAACACACCCTGTCTAACTTTTAACAAAAAAATACACCGAATTAGTGACCACTTTTAAAGAAATTTTGGATAATTGCTTTAAGATGATATTTTTTTTTTCTAAAAATTATTGAGTAAAAAGTAGAATCATTAAAAATGGATTCACAATAAATTATATATAATCGAATTGAATACCTCCTCCTTTGTTCAAGTCGGTCAAAAAAACATTAGCACGACTCGAACAATATTGCAGTTTACTTGAACTCTGAAACTTCTTTGTACTTGAAGCGGCAACGGTTAATTTGTAAATTAGAAACCGCTCATTTTAGTATTTGCTTTCAAATGGCTTATTACTTGTTTTACTTTGTTGTTTTATTATTTACCATATAATTTGTTTACTGTAATACCAAATTTTAAGAACATTACGCCAATATGTTGACACTAATGGGTGGTAATTATAATTCAATTGTAAAGAGACTAAATTTACGCAATATTTTTTTTTTTGTTTGAAATTCTGAAAGCGAAAATAAAAGTAGAGTTTTTGTCTCTGACTTAAAAATATATTTGGTATATAAAAATATATTTGATAGAAAAAACTTAAATCCCTTATACATACATAATCTATACAATATATATTTTACGGAATTATATTATATGTGTATGTAAGTATAGAAAAAGCAAATCAACAATTTTTATTGTCTGTTTGTTTAACAATATAAAATGCCTCCAGCGGGACTAGAACCCGCGACCGCTGGCACAGTAGGCTTACTACAAAGCCATACGTGTCGTCATTATACATACATATATGTATATATACTTTATATTCGTCTATGCATATCATATAGCTTAGATACATATAAGATCTTGTTTTAGAGAAGGACTCCCATCATGGTCGGTTCCGCCGTTCAATACAAATTACAATGGGCGGAATGTTACGTTTATTGAAATGTGTTCGGACTTGGGCTCTTCAATAGTCCTCGTGCCAATTATTGGTGTTCTAGGAAATGTCGCCATTGCAAAGGCTTTTGGTATGTATTGATTGTAGTTTGAATTATTTTCTGAATTAACTGTTGATTGAATTGTTCTTCTTTTCCTATATTTTTTTTATTTTGTTTTTTTTTGCGTTGGAATGGTCTATCGATAACGATGCTTAAATTTGTATATTATTATTATATTTAATTTACCACTGCTTCATTCATTGCTAAATACAACTATAAAAATACTGTCTGGGAATGACATACCTACTTTATCTATACTAATATTATAAAGAGTTTGTTTGTTTGAACGCACTAATCTCAGGAACTATTAAACCGATTTGATAAATTCTTTTTGTAATAAGATAGCCCGTTTATTGAGGAAGGCTATATATATGCCATATCATATAATATTATATAGTCTATCTATTTCATACTAACCGTTTAAAACCTAGGCACGAAACGAGGGTGAGTCGCAAGTTCATTTATAAATTTGCATTTATGATTATTATCTCGGTGTGCTTGTAATAAAGTAAAATGATGCGAATTAATAAATGGCAGCAAATTACAATTTATATTATATAGAGTAGTTAGTAGTCGTTCCAAAAAACTACGCTTTCACATTATTTAAATTTAATTAACTCTTAAACGCTATTTGCGCTAAGAAGATACGATTTTTTTCGATCTAATTCACAAATTCCATCATCTCAGTAGATTCTTTTTGCAAAATGTTTATAAATTATAGTCTAATCTTTCCAGACAATTTATCTTTCTATTAATGAAAACTGTATGGAAATTTGTACAATAGTTTTTGTCAATAGCTCAAATAAGAACAAACTGAACTCTCATTTGTTACTTATACTTTTGTTTAAGCGAGCGGTGAGTCAGTGGATGCTACTCAGGAGTTGATAACCTTATCGCTTTCAAATATTTTGGGTTCATTTGTAAGCGCTATGCCTATTACCGGATCTTTCTCCCGGAGTGCAGTTAATCACGCGAGTGGTGTCGCCACGCAGTTTGGAAGTTTGTATACTGGTATGTATCCTATTTAATCCATAAAGTTGCATCAAAGCGATTACAGTTTTTTTTCTTTGTTTTAATTATATGTAAGATATCAGATTAGCTTTTTATAAAGATTGTCATAAATGTGAAAGTTTGTGAGATAGCTTGTTTCTAGCCAGCCAGCATAGCCGGGAACAACAAACATACACATGATCAGTTTTTTACTGACATATCATCCGCGAAATGAGACGCGGGTATTTTCATATTTTATTTTTATGCTATACATATTGTAATATTTATAATCTAATTAATTATAAAACTTTATAAAACAACGACTTAACTTGATTATTCTATTTTTTTCCTTCTTAGACTTAATTATTTACGCTGTTCTTGTAACTATTGATAAAAATCAAGGTGACAATTATTATCGACACCTTTTTTCATCCAAACAATGAAAAAGTAAAAATAGTATGAAAATCAATATTTTTAATCTATACAAAAATATAATATTGGTCTGCCACTATGTCCAAAAAATTTGTTGATAAAAAATAATAGGTATTAACTGCTTATACCAGTCGTGCAAATCTAACATGATAGGCATTTGAAAAAAGTCAAGGTTGTTGGTGAATGCGATATTAGTTACATTAGAATCGATTTGACGTAAATTCTTTTTTTTTAGTTTTATTTGGTATTATCGATAACCACTTTGATTTAACACCTCCAGGTTAATTTCTAAGAAATTTATTAAATTTCTAAGAAATCTATTGTTAACTGTAGCGCCGGCGTGTCCGTGGTCGTGAAGGGATTTCTAGTTAATGATAAAAATATAGGTATATATTTATTTACCGCAGTTAAAGTACTATATTAAAAAATAATATTAGAAATATTTTATTTAAATATTATGTACTAATTAGACTCGACCTACATTTTCCTGTCCAAATATTGGCTTTTATAAGTTCACACTAAAGTTTTCTTTCTACAAAAAAGGTCTCAGTTTTCCCCTAATTTCCTATTTGTCAAAACATTTTCTCAATACGGTCCTTCCGTTTTCAAGTGATACCCTTATCCATCGACTTTTAATTTTTACTTGGATATTGTGTATGTACATGACATGTAAATTCGCCAACGACTTGGCTGATGTCATAACACGCGATAGCTGGTATAAATGTAAATTCTCGAGGAACCATTTGTGACAATAAAACCTGTTTGATATAATTATTGGCCTTAATAATATTGGAAACACTAAAATGAATTTATTAATTTGTCATTTTTAAAAAACTACGTAGCAACAGATGTGCTGTTATACTTATACAGATAATAGAGAATATGCGTTTTTTTTTGTACATTAGCATCGTTATATAATTGTAAAAAAAATATCCAGATCTAAAATTTAGTATGAAATTTTTGTTTTAAAATATACCGCTTATACAATTTAACGAAAATATACGAATTCTTTAAACGCCCGCAATTTCGCGCTCTTGGCATATGACGTCAAAGTATATCTATCATACACAAAAATGACGACTTTTGCTTAAGCAATTTTGATATTCACACGTATATTTGCACTTTTTAATAATTATTTTCTTAATCAAAAAGAAATTACGTTGGAAAATATTAATATAGGCTTAATTCAGATAGTTCTGAATTAAGCCTATATAAAGATTATAAAAAAAAACACCTTTCTTTAAATCACACGCATATTTCCTATCCCTAAAACATTTGATTGAGACAGACTATTTTTGTTACGCTATAATATCAAGTTTTGCAGGATACTACATAAATGTTGGTAGAGATATAAAAGAAATAAATAAACTATTTAATAATGTTAGATGACTGCGTTACATTTAACGGCCAGTCAGAACTTTAGAACGGGCTATAATAATTGAATGCGTATATAAAATATTGTGTCTGTACTGTTGACCGTTGAGTAGTTGCTTCCTCTGAAGCCAATCCTAGATGGAGAATCAAGTCATAATTATCATAAAAAGTTACTGTCATTGGAACTGAACCAACACGTAAAATTTCAACTCTGTAGGATAAGGAAGTGGTTCTTCAGGCCTCCTAGCTTACCATGGAACTAGATGGTGCTGTGTGTTAATGTCCCAACATATTTAATCACGTATATATACCTAATTCAGCTTGCTAGATTTGACACATACAAACATACCAACTAAAAGCATTGCAAGTTAAATGAAAGCTTGTAATAATAAAAATTAATTTTAATTTTATTTATTAACGTATTCATATGAAATTAGTTCATTAAAATTAAAAATATCGTTACGCTACGATGACTCCCTCACGTCACATAGCGGTGATTATATATTTTTACATTATGTGAAGTGCTTTCTACGACTGTTTGAAACAAAGACAACCAAACCGTCTGGGACGTAAAAATAATAGCAAACAAGAGAAACACGTGTGGTTCTGCAGATATTTCCCCTAAAGTATTATAAAATATGTATGTACTAGCGGACCCGACAGACGTTGTCCTGTCTACACGTCTTTAATTTGAAAATTTCAAACTTTTTTAATAATTTTTTTGATGAAAATTATTATTCAAATTGTGAATCTAAACCATTCCCAGATCCCCTTGAACACACACAAAAAAATTCATCAAAATCGGTCCAGTCGTTTGAGAGAAGTTCAGTGACATACACACTCACAGAAGAATTATATATATAAAGATGTTTATTTTCAACAGTTGTTTAACTTACAACGTTGATAAGAATTGTCTTTTCGAAATAATCAATGGCTTGTAGAAAGATCTCTTTTGAGACAAAGTCGTCTTGTAGGTATACAATTTACCTAATTTAAAATTTACTACTCTGTATATGGTACATAAATTAAAAAAAAAAAAGTATATAAATAATACTTTTTTTTTAATATTCACGCATCCACTGTTTCATGTGAATTCAGAATTATTTTACTGATTATTTTTATATATTATTTTGTATAGGCGATGATCATAGTTATATTTTATCAGATCAGGTGACGCTATAGCGTCGACTATAGTCGAATTATTAAAAATTATTCCGTATAAAGTAGAAAAGTCTCTACCGAGATGCATAATTTATGGACAGCTTTGGCCGTATTTATATTTTGTAACTTAACTATCTTATGATCTTATATATCAGTGTCCCCCGTGACCATTATTGCTGTAAAGCTTCGCGGGGAACCAAAAATAAAAATGAATCCGAGAAAAAATCCGAAAGGATAGTTTTATTTAAAGTGTCAAATATTCGCGTAAATCTAAGAAAGTATTGTAACTATATTTTGCTTGTACGCGTAGTTTATTTATATAGATATATATCACTCGTTCTTAAGGGTAGTTGCGTGATGTTAGGCTATAAAACGCAGAAAGATTTTTTTTTTAACTCAGACTGATATTTTCAGAGTAATCTCAGCGCGTTGAGCTCAGCAAATGAGCTTTTCAGAATTATTATATTGATATACTAGTAGATATGTTCATATGTGTATTATTTTAAAAATAAAAACACGGGTGAAATCTAGATGGGTCTCTACTTATAAAACAATCTTGGTAATAAAAAGAAAACACAAAATCTTCATTAGTAAAATCCTTTCAAAATCTTATATCCAAAAAGTGTTTTCTATACAAAATTAAAAACCGAGTTTTATCCAAATATCTCGGAAACTTGGAGATTATTATAAAAAGTGTCATCTACAAAAGTTGTAGATTTTTACTAGACCTACAACTGTTGTACAAAATTTTTCGATACAACGTCACAGTAAGCCGGAAATTGAAAAAAAAAAAACAATTTTTCAACGCCTTGCGTCCCCCCATTTCTCGGGGGTGGCTAGGCATCGGGGGTATTTTACGAATTTCTATTCCTTATATACCTACCATGTACCTGCTAACGTTTTAAAACCATAAAACTTCATGTTTTAATTTGTTTGTTCCCAAACCGGATTCCGATTGGACTATATTGTTTTGTGGTAAATTGAAATTCTGATGTAAAATAGCTGATATCAGTTGAGCATTACATGTTTATTGATAACTATATAATTTATGTAGAAATATAAGAGTGATTAAACTAAATATGTACCTACATTATAGGGAGATAGAGAAAATATCCTATTTGTTTTATATGAGTCCTCCTTACCTCTACGTTTTATAGAGAAGATAAACAATTTATTTTAACTGCAAATTAACCAATATATTCTCATATTGTTATGTATACTATCTCTCTAACTCACTTAGGTTGACTGGAAGAAATCTCTTCTAGAGATAAGTCCGCCTTTGCTAACTAATTTTATTGTTTGTTACTGTCTGTATTTTACATATAAGTGCAATAAAGAATAGTATATATATGTTTTTTGTTTGTATGATAAACTTTTTTTATAAATCAGTAACCCAGGTTTTCTTTAATTATTTGTTTTACTTTTATTATTATTTTTATTTTAAATATTTAAAAATATCTTAATTATTTTCAGGTGTATTAGTACTCCTCGCCCTAAGTTTATTGACGCCATATTTCTACTACATACCCAAAGCAGCGCTCGCTGCGGTTGTGATATGCGCAGTGATATTTATGATAGAATACGAGGTAATTACTTTTAATTTTTATTAATTTGTATTGTTTATTTATGCTTGATTAGAAAAAGTAAAAAATAGGTAATTATCGAGGGTAAAGTATTTTTCCATAAATTGGTTAATTTTAATAAATCGAAATCGAATATATATAGATATATCGAAATCTATACATATAATAAAATTGTAACCAAGCCGAATCTGTACATTATATATTTTTTGGAAAATCTTATTGAAATAGACATTATTATCCATATAGAGGCCGAATCTATAGTTTTCAGAATTTTTGTCTGTCTGTCTGTCTATCTATCTGTTACCGCATCACGGAAAAACCACTGGAGGGATTTTGATGAAATTTGGTATGATGATAGCTGGTTATCTGGGTCAACATATAGGATACTTTTTATCGCGGGAAAATATCTCATTTCTGAAAAAAAATATACAAAAACTGCAATGTAAGAGTATACTAATATGTAAATCCTAAGAATTTGGTTTTTGGTCATCTGAACGCGGGCGGAGCCGCGGGCAGTGCTTGAATATATATTTTCAAATATCAGTTTCTCTTGTTTCAGAGGTGGTATAATAAGAAATTACTGTGTTCCTAAGTTAACAAATTAAACACGTGCCAGAAAATATAATTTAAAATGATAAAAATTTACATATTATGTAAGTGGTGATTGAAACAGCCATTGCTTCCTTAAACAAAAAATTTCAAGGTCGTTTTTGTATAGAATTGCTATATCGGTAGCGATAACCGATTTTATTATAATTGACGCCATATTTTATTAATGAATATGTGTTATTTTATGTCCTTGTATAGTTTTTTTTTAATACACTATGCAAAGATCGCCTAATATATTTATTTATTTATTTATTTACTAGCGACTCACCCTCGCTCCGCTCGGTTTAGTTTCTAGGAAAGTTTTACCGGTTAATATGATTTCTCGGAGATGAGATACTTTCCCGCAGTAAAAAGTATTCTATATGTTGACCCGGATAACCAGCTATCATCATACATACATATAAATTTTATCAAAATCTGTCCAGTGAGTCTCTCGTGATGCTTTCTTAGGCAGACGGACACACAAAAATTCTAAAAACTATAGATTCGGCTTCTGTACCGACAATAATGACTATTTGGATAAAAATTTCCAAAAAATATATAATGTATAGATTCGACTCAGTTATAATTGTATTATATATATATATATATATATATATATATATATATATATATATATATATATATAGATATGGCAGGTATAATGTAAAAGACGTGAAATCATGATATACCTTACATTGTCCCATGATATGTTAAGGAAAGGAAGCGATTGGCAAAACTCCGGGCAATTTTAATTTCACTGTAATAAAGATAAACATAGAAATACAAAGTATAAAGAACGTGCACAAAACCCTCTCTCTCTCTCTCTATATATATATATATATATATATATATATATATATATATATATATATATATATATATATACATATAATACTAATATGCATAGTAAATTTATTAGTAGAAGATCCGAAGGTCGTTTCTTATCCATCTGCTTATTGGAAAAGTTTATTTAAGTTAAACTAAATACATATGTATGTCGCAAATAGATTGCTTTAAATATGATCAAGAGTATCCATTTACTAAAAATAATAAAGTATTTATATATATATATATATATATATATATATATAAATCAAGCCCGCTACTACAATCTATTTTTTTAATGCAAAGTTTAAGCTTTTTAAATACGTTGGATCTTAGACTATAAAAATAGGTACACACTAAGGCCCTTAAACAGTGAGATGTTGCGTGCTTGGTTACGATTAGCCCTAAATTTCCCGTTCTTCTTTGCACACTTATTCTGACTTATTTCAATTAAACATCGTAAGTGGATCAAACACGACCTACATATTATGTCCCGTGGCATTACGTTTTACGTCATTGTTTTCTTAAGTTGTTATCGTTATCGTCAATTTTTTGTTGAATAAAATATGACTCTTCATTTATATATTAAAACCTCTTATTTGTACATATTTATTAGTAAATAAAATTGGTTATTTTAGGTAGTAAAACCGATGTGGCGTTCGAGACGCGCCGATCTTGTGCCAGCGTTCGCTACGTTTGCTCTCTGCCTTATAGTTGGAGTGGAACTGGGTATTGTCGCTGGAGTCTTACTAAACGTTATCCTTCTTATATATCCCAGTGCTAGACCTGCAATGGAAGCCGAGATCATAACAGTAAGTACTTATAATAACTGAAAACATATATAAATAAAACAACACCACAATGTGTTGCTCCTAGTTTATCGGTATACTTAATTTCATCACAAACCAATCAGCTCTTGAAGACTTGAAGCAGTAATAAAAATATATACAAACTTTCGCATTTATACTAGCACTAGTCCGATGACGATTTCGATAAAAAATTATAATCGAATTAAGAGACCCGTCGATATCGATATTTTTTGATGGTTAATAGGTATTACTGGTATTACCCGCGGCTTCGCTCGCATACAAACTTTCGATCGCTACATTTCACAGGACCACCCCGCTGGGCTAATCCGAAGATTGTCTGAAAATTTCAACAAAATCGCTCCAGCCATTTTAGAGTCCATAGGGAATATACGTACATCGATTTTTATATATAACTAGCGACTCACCCTCGGGTTCGTCTCTAGTAAAAATTTCGGTTTGTATGTATTTTTAATGCCGTATCATAAAAAAATTAAAATACAAAATGTCGTCCAAAAAATAACAACATTTTTTTTTGGCGTGGAACAGTTTTAACACTTTGGGGTATGAAAAGTAATTTACGTCCTATTCTCAGACCTACTGAATATACACACAAAATTTCATAAGAAATGGTCAAGCCGTTTCGGAGGAGTTTTGTTACAAACACTAAGACACGAGAATTTTATATATTAGAAGAGACGTAGATAGATTATTTATAGTTTTGCAATATACCATTAAATGATAAAAGATTTTTTTATGAAATCGATTAAAATTAATCAATACAGTGATAATTCATCAAATTAAAGCATATATCTATGGGATATATCATCGTGGAATGTTGGCATTTAGTTACACAGTTTAATTTGAAAGATCCAAGGCCATAACAATCGACCTAGTATATTAAATAAGTGCAATAAAGATATTGGATACGCGTATAAATTCAGGGTTATAGAATTCTAATATAACAATTACATTTTAATTTTATAGGTCGTTAATGTGATATTGAAATTATGATAATTATTATTTTGTTAATCACTCCGTGTAGTAATTTGGCGATTTTCAATTTAGTTTTTAACAGCCATATAATAATAAAACGCCCTTTATTGTATATTTACGACTATGTAATAAGCTGAGTTAAACTTCTTATTTATGAACCACTCGAAGTTATTATGTATAAAATAGATTGCCTGTGTTTTAACTAGATGGAAAATACAACATATATACTTAGACCTCGTGATAACTTCGAGGCAGTATATTTTTTGCCGTTGCTAATTTACTGAAAGATGATAAATTGTTTAAAGTCAATGTTGATAATTTATTAATTTATTAGTTTAAGACATGATTAAGTAAAAAAAGAATAGAGCAAGATGCACTATACTTTCTCTTTCTTCTTCTTCTTTTCTCTTTTCCGTCTCACTTTTTTGTATATAATTATATTATTATTTGACTTTTTATGCTGATTAGCTGATTCTACTATTTCATATGTACTATAGACAATGTTCACATATAGTAATTTGTTTTTCTCATTTCATTCATTCCATTTCAGAACTCATCGGGTTTCAGCTATCTTTTAATAACAGTCGGGAACAGCTTGTACTTCCCCGGCGTGGAGTACATACGACAGTATGTGACCAGAGCCGCCAAGAAACAAGGAGGATGCAGTATGCCGGTTGTCATTGATTGTAGATTTGTACTGGGTAAGTGTAAATATTACCTATATTTACATACTAATGACTTACCCTGGCTTAGCTCAGATGCTACCTTGGGTTCCTAACAATAGCCTATGTGCTATGCGAGGTCATAATCTATCCGTTTATCCAAATCCCTTGAGTATTTTCAGCTTGTAGTAGTAACATACATACACACATACAAACTTTTGCATTATTAGGTGTCGAATATTAAAAAATTATGAAGTATGATAATATACTTTAAAAATATCCAAATCGACACCAAACAAATTATTTTCTGCCAGATCCATCTACTAAAAAACCTTCTAATAAACTTGCTCCTTTTCGACCTAAATTGGTAAAATCTTGATAGACCGGTTGATAAAATAACCTGTTTATTTTAAAATTTGAAACGTTTAATAAAAAAAAAACAAAAAAAGCTCCATTTAGTGAGCATAATATATATGTTATTTTATGATAGTGTTTCTTGAAATATCTACACACATCCAAACTCATCTATTTAGTACTTTTGAGTAAAATGGTTATTATAGTAATATATATTAATACATAATAAATATAAATGAAAGGAAAATTCCGTTTTGTAATTTAGCTACTGAATCTAAAATATAACTAAATTGGTACCACTAAATTACTTGTTTATTAATTACTAGCGACTCACTCTCGCTTCGCTCGGGCTCGTCCCTAAGTTGATTACCCATACAAATTTTAATCCCTATTTTCGCCCCCTTAAGGGATGATTGCCGGGATAAAAAGTATCCTATGTCCTTTGTAGAGCCTCAAACTATCTTTTCACCAAATTTCATTCAAATCGGTTCAGTAGATCCCAGATATTACCCCCTACAACGTCACAAACTCGCAAACACACAATTCACAAACTTTACCTCTTTGTAATATTAGTATAGACTAGCGACTTAATTCGACGTTCTAATTTTTTGAGCGGAACCCTTAATCTTTTTATAAAATATTAAAAATAGCCTCAGTTGTTCCTCATAATATCAGCTATCCGCCCGTGAAAGTCCCGTCTGAATCACTCCAGCCTTTTCGGAGATTAGCCGGAAAAAACTGGTAGGCGGACATATAAAATTTAAAATTTGTTTTTTTCTTCTAAGTACCGTGTTGATAAATGAACGCAATCGTTTATATATTTTATATATAAATATATTTAACCTCCTTATTATGTACATATTATTTCATTAATTATGAATAAATACACAGCTGTCATCGTTTTTTCTTGTTCGGTCCTATTATTTTGTTCCTTTACCTATTTTAACCTATTTAACACAATCCTTTATTAGTTTTCATTATACCGTATATAATTTCATATGCATTTAGTAAAAAGTTGTTATTTTAACATTTCAAACACACACTTTAATTTTATTTATCTGTATAGATTATTTTACCTGTTTTGCCTTTATTGGTCAAAACGTGTACATGTTAAAAGAACATCAGGATTTTGTTTTGTTTTTTGAAAAGGTTAGGAGTTCCAAACTAACATTAGTAGTAAGAACCTAAAATACTTTTTTATATAATTAAGGCAATGGTAGCCAGTGGTTACGCGCTCGCTTGAGAAACCGAGTGAAACGGGTTCAAATCCAGGTTCTCGCACCTCTGATGTTTTCATGTACGAATCATTTCTAACATGATTACCACTTGCCTTACGGTGAAGGAAAACATCGTGAGGAAACCTTCATGTCTGAGAGAATCTAACAAGTTTTCGAAAGACATGTAAAGTCTGCCAACCCGCACTTTGCCAGCGTGGTGGACTATGGCCTTATGCCCCTCGTATTGACAGGAGGCCCATGCCCAGCAGTGGGACGTTAAAAAGGGCTGAATACATACATACATACATACATACATACATACATACATAATCAGTCCCTTTTAACGTTCCACTGCTAGGCATGGGCCTTCCTTCAACGCAAGGAGGATCATTTCCCCCTCGCATAAAGTGGTTGGCAATTTCTCATGTATTTTGAAAACGTGCTTGTTTCCCTCAGACATGCAGACACATGATAAAGCTAATTACAATACGATATGATGATGTTACTTGATTATATAATCCCTTCGTCTAAGACACAAAAGATATTATATTTTGTAAAAACCTATACATATTTTACTTTTAACACAACACAAATATAAGAATGACATTAGAAAATGTTTAACTTTAAGTCATTTTAACCTTTCAGGTGCAGATTTCACAGCAGCAAAAGGTATATGTGCGTTGTCCAACTCATTATCTTCCCGTGGTCAGCCGTTAGTACTGTTATCACCTCGGTCGAGCGTCGCGTCAGTGTTCAAAGGGGCCGGCTCCGGGGTTGTTGTTGTGTTGAATGCATCTGATTTAGATGCTACCCTGCAAGGTGAGGTTTTTTCGTATTCTTTGTTTTAATGTAGTAATGATCTTTTTAATGATTTCGGGTTTATCGGTCAATCTCACTGAGATAGAAGTGTGCTAGAGATATTATAGTGTATACAAGTAAACTCTGTACTTCTATCGAGTGTTTATATATTATGTTTGGATGTTGAATTGACACGATTGTTGAAAAATAATGTGCAGGGGGAAGGAAGGAAGGTAGGGGAATAAAAACTCACAACTTCAGAAGTCCGGGTAGTTACGGAGTATTTCGTAACAAAAAAACTCAGTTACTATTTTGGTGTATCCTAGGATTCCATCTAGGATCTCACGATTTAAAATGAACTCATGTGAAACCGTAGACTACGCCTAGTATATAATAAAATACCGTATTTAATTTTAACAATGCTTGCAATGTACAGACGTTCATGTGTTTTAAAGTAAATTGTTAATATTATTACGAAATTATTCAGGCATGCTACAAATGATAGCTTTGACATGACGAGATCAAGAAAAAAATTCTTGAACATTTTATCTCTTGTGCGTATGACGTGTACAGTTCAGATTAATATGTCATACTGTATTTAGATTACCATCAAATATGAAATTTAGCTAAAGTAATGTTTTAATGTAACACTATAGTGAATTTTAACTGCCTCGGTGGTGTAGTGGCTAGCATGTACGGCTGCACACCCGGATGTCCTAGGTTCGAGTCCCGGGTCGGGCCTAGTGTAGTTATTGAGTCTTTCTGTATATTAAGGCTCAGTAACGGCCCGGAATTGGGAAGTTGGCGGTGTTTCACCCCCGTGCCTCGGAGAGCACGTAAAGCCGTCGGTCCTGCGCCGACACTCTCACTGCGAGTGTCTCGCGTCGTCCCACCGGAGTATGAGAGTGATAGGAATAGAGAGTGCACGTTGTGTCTGCGCGTACACTTGTGCACTATAATATCTCCTGCGCAGTTGGCTAGTCTCAATGAGATTGGCCGCCGTGGCCGGAATCGGTCGGGAGAACATCATTGTCATCATAGTGAATTTTGCAGAGTATGTAAACTAGCCATTAAAGATTTTTATAGGACTTACGCAGCATTTATGAACTCATTGCTTATCTGTTATTACGCAGTAATAACAAATAAGCAATAAAATGTGTTCAAAAAGTTCAAAAAGATAGATACGGTGACGATTTGTTTTTTTTTTGATTACATTCTTATATTTGTTCCAGAGCTCACCGGTCAAATAGCGTTACCAGATATGAATACTAAGGAAAAGAAACGTATAACACCACCTCCCTCATACAAATCACTCAACCAGTTAGACGACGACGCCATAGAAGTGGTCATCGCAGAACCAAATAGCACTCCCTTACTAACAAGTATGACATCTAATGTCAATGACACGTGACCGAAAAAGAAAAGTAGGGTACTTAAATACTATTTACTTAATTTTTTCCATAAATAAAAATATAGGTAATACATTTTAAATTTTTTAGGTACTAATAAAAATTGAAAGTTCTTTTTTGTTGCTGACGTTACTAAGTGCTGAAAAGAATTAGGCATATTACGGAAATTGTTCCATAGAATAAGTTTGTGTAAAATGTTCTCCTTATATATTTTTATTTGACGTGTTTTTTTTTAATTTTTCTTGTATTTTAATTAAGAAATGACATGACTTATTATTTTTAATACGTTGCTTTAAACGCTTTTTATTTATATAAATTATACACAGAAATTTTATTACAAACTATTATCAAGAGAAACCAAAAACAGATTACATAATATGTATATTATATATCGTTGTAAATAAACACGTTGCTAAGTCTATTGGTATAATGTACTCAGGAAGGCATAAAATGAATTTTATATTTATAGTCAATACTTTTTACTTATAACCTGCTAGCAACTCACCCTTACCTCGCTCGGATTCGCCTCTAGAAAAACATAACTATTCAACGGATACGGTACAATTTTGCGGCATAAAAAGTAGCCTATATGCTATCCCAGACTATAATCTATCTCTGTGCCAAATTTCATCCAGATCCATTCAGCCGTTCTGGCGTGATTGAGTAACAAACAACCAAACATCCATCTAAACTCACAATTATAATATTAAGTAGGATAAACTAAACTTTGCCAGGATATTTCGTAAGGAGATTATTTGATGCCAAGTACAAAAAAATACCAATTTTTTTTTGTTTTATTGCCCATCTGCATATATATTTCTCAAAGTTAAAGTTAAAAAAAACTGTTTGATTGAAATTATCTGTATAAATATTATAAATGCGAAAGTACGGATGGATATTTGTTACTCAAGCACGCCAGAACGGCTGAACGAAATTTGACACAGAGATAGATTATTGTTTGGAATAGCACATAGGTTACTTTTTATCCCAGAAAATCTAAGGTTCCCGTGGGATAGATTTGTTTCTGCTTGTTTTCAATAGCTAGTAATAAAATAATCAAAACAAATCACAATGCAAAGGAAATCACTATCATCTATTTAGAATATATGAATTTAGCTTTACGATCTGCGTTCCAATTTAATCATATAATTATTTTTAAATATAATTTGTTCCTTGTTGGGATAGACAAAGAAACATGGTGTCTTCTCTTTCTCACATCGTACACTGCCAGTATCGAATATTATAGTTAGGTGAGACACAACGTGACTAACATATTATTTAAAACTTATGAAAAATTATCATAATTACATTGATCGGTTATCAAATATACGATCTTGGGGGTATTAGAAAGTGACAAGCCAAATTGTACTACAATGTTTTCTCTATTCTTTTATCTATAGAACTCATATTATGACTGTGCTGTGATTATGTACAGTATAATGTGTGTATCTAAACTGTTATTTTGCTAGTAATTATCTACCATACTAATATTTTCTTAGATTTATTTACGCGAATATTTAGCATTTTAAATAAAACTATCTTTTCGGATTCTTTCGCGGATTTATTCAGATTTTTGGTTCCCGACGTTTCGAATGGTTTACGACAATAATGGCCACGGGAGAGACTTATACGGGTTTGTGTGTGACGGGTTTTTTAATAATTATAACAATTAAATATAAAATTAAATAAATAATATGATTTAACACGTTCAATTATAATACTTAATAAAATGATACAAAAATGTTAGAAATTAAAATTAACAAATATTAAAAGGTACCTTGGTGCCATGGGTAGGCTGTCTGTAACAACTACATAGAGACGTCTAAAACCTTAGTCTCTCCCGTGACCATGAGAAAATCCGAAAATATACTTTTGTTTAAAATATATACTTTACTGTCATTTGCAGCGAATTTCAAAGTTTCTTAGTTATAATATGAGCACTATTTAAACGTATATAATCAATGGGAATAAGATACTTAATCTCAATACCTACTTAAATATAACTAACAATAAGCGCTTTCAGTGTTACCGAAACATAATATTGCCATTAGCATAGTTACCATTGTACCTCAAAGTTGAAAATAGATCAAATATGACATTTTCTCATCGTCATATTATGAAGTTTTGTTTGATCTTTGCTCTCTGTATTTTTTTTTTCAATTATGTCCTAACGTCAATAAACATGACACCCAGTGTAATCATTTTATTAAGTGCAATATGTATTAGAATATCTTTTAAAGAAATAAAGTATGTAAGAAATAAGCTACAAGTTTTTATTTGCATAAATCTGTTTGATTATTTTAATTTACACAGTATTGTAAGGAATAAAAAATATTATACATTTAGTAAACAACTCGACCCAGTCATTGGGCATTAATATTATTAAATCTTTTTTTTTATTAAATTATTAAATACTACATCTTTCTGTATATTTCTTTTGGCCACAAATATTCCGTAGAATCGCAGTAATAAATATACTCGTATGTACGTATACAAATAAAGTAAAAGAATGATCTTAAAATCTATCCTTAAGGAAATAAGGTACTTTTATATTGTAAATTGAATCAACGATGTCAAAAGGAGTGTTTTCTTTGATAAATACATATTAATCGATATTATTGTAGTTTCAATTCGATTTTTGATCAATGAAAAATTAAAGGTCTATAATCTCAGAATGAATCACCACATAACTTTCTTACAACTGTGGTAACTCGCCAACTAGAAAAGCCAGTACTACCCACTGAAACCCAACGGAACCTTTCCCGGTTTAATAGGACGCCGTAGGAATATTTGCGAATTCAACCACGATGCCTCGTTTTCCTTCCTACTATTTAGAATGTGAACGATTGAACTTTTCATAGGATCTTCCGTAAAACTAGTAGAAGGGTCCGCCATTAATTGAAGTATGGTCTAATATTGTGTTATGGATGGACAAAGTTTCATTCGAAAAATTGAATATCTTAATAATAATTACGAGTGATAATTAACAACTATAAAATGGTTCGTATAAACTTTTATGTATAATTGGATGATTGTGCTTTGTAAAGTTCGGAAAAAGAGAGAGATAATAATATTAACATACATTCATACTTATGTGAAAACAACTCGATACCAAATTATTACTTGAGCTAAACCTAATATATGCAAAAAATATTGCAAAGTGTTTATCTAATTTTTTAAGTTCAGCCCATGAATAAATGAATAAAAATCAATGAAAATATATAATTGCATATAACTAAAAATAAAATCATGTATGTATGTATAAAAGTTTTTATTTTATAATTTTAGTTTTATAAATAAATCTCGACGATAACTTAAGAATCTTAGCACCATCAAGTTACAATTATAAATGCATCTCTGACTATTATGTTATGAGTATCATAATATAACTTAAAACTACTTATGAAGATATACATTAAATAAGTCTTAATCCAGTCGTTTTAAATGCTACTTATTCAGTAGATATTCTAGTTGAAAATATTTTTTACGTCAATTTTTCTCATATAAATCTTTGTTATGTTATTTTACTGTCTTTCAATACTGGACTGCAAGAACATAGGTTTAGAAGCTGAACGAAGTTTCTCGGAAACGACATGAGCGATTCTTGAACTACGCTGCCAAGCCAACTCACGCGTTCTTTCATGATTGCTATCCACACGCACCTTGAAAAGAAAATGTTATCGTCAATATATTGTTATAAGTATGTGTGTATGTTTGTTACTCTTTCGTGATAAAATGGCTGGACAGATTTGGGTAAGCTTTAGTAGTCAGATAGACCATGATCTGGAGAAACACATACATAGGTATGCCATATTGTCAGGCATCGAAGGAGTGGGATGCACCCGAGTGAAGTGAAGGTAAGTGGCTCTTTGTTTAATAATATTACTAGCAGAACCCGCGTCTTCGCTGGCGCTAAAACTACAAAACGCTCTAAAAAAGTAGGTTCCATACAAACTTTCATCCCCTATTTTACCCCCTTATGCGATGAATTTCGAAAAATGCTAAAACACGTATTCATTTAATCGTATTGAAGAGCATCTATACTAAGTTTCAATAATTTGATTATAAATATTTTTTGAGTTGTAATTTAACTTGTTTTACTTGAATAAGATAATCTCCCGCGGTAAAAAGTAGCCTATGTCACTCTCCAGTCCTCTTAACTATCTCCACACAAAAAATCACGCTAATCCGTCACTCCGTTTCGACGTGAAAGAAGGACAAACAAACAAACACACTTTCACATTTATAATATTAGTATGGATGATACAAAACACACTTTACATTTATTTTAGCCTCGTAAAATAAATAAAATTATGTCTCTTTTTTTAAAATCCAAAAATATTTGATTTATAAATATTTTACGTAAAATTTTTTGCTAATTTACCTGCTTAGGCTGCAAGACTTTAATTGAATGTAAAGAAGCCACTCCTTGATTGTTGACACGTAATGTGATTTTTCCCATCATTTCAGCGGTCGTAGCTGTGGCTGATTTAATTTCTTTCTTACGTCCAACCTAGTTAAAAATTTATAAACAAATTAATTTCAGACATAAATAAAACACAAAAATATAAAGATATTAACAATTTATAATACTAAATGGTTTTTACCTCTTTCTCCACTCTTAGCACGAGAGGTCCTACTGCAAAATTACTCCTCACAGTTGTTTGATCGGACATTATGTTTACAGCAACATCGCCCATTCTTCTTAATGATGAAAGTCCAAACAAAATTCCTTTAGCTCTAGGTTTACTCTTCTCACTAGCTTTCACTTTATTCTTATTAACGGGCTTGGCAGTCGTAGCTTTAGTGGTTGCCTTGGTTTTTGGTTTAGTTGTCTTCGCTGGAGGTTTAGGTCTGGGTGTGGTTGATTTTGGTTTAGCTTTTTGCTTTGTAGCTCTTGACTCGCTAGCCGATTGCTGGGATTCTATAACGTTAGCTACTTTGTTCTGGGATATATCGTTTATAGTGTTAACTTCCGCGAGTTTGTCAGATATAGTTTCATTTTTTTTACTTTCAGCTACTCCTCCACGAGCAGCGTTTTTCTTCTTGTTAGACGTTTTCCTACAATGGGTAAAATATATTTATTAATCAATAAAAAATCTGTCAAGAGTTCCATACTATCGTACTTGTACTTTTTCTTAATATGACTTATAATACTCTATGTATGTAGTATACGAGTATCAACTTAGGTCTTAGATGATGGATTACGAACGTTAAAAAAATGTTTCTTATATTTTTATTTATTTTCATTATTTGTTGTTGTAGCAGCAATAGAAATGCATACTCTGTGAAGATTTCAACTCTCTACCTATTACGGTTCATGAGATACAGCCCTCTGACAGGCAGACGGACAGACAGCGAAGGCTTAGTAATATGGTTCCGTTGGCACCCTTCAGGTACGTAACCCTAAAAAGTCTCTCATCTACACTCCTTTTACAAAACTAAATTCACCTATCTCGAAGTATCTACTGTAAAATGTTCAATAACAAAATAAAATATTCAAAACTCATAATAAAAATAATATAAAACTAAAATCTTTAATTTACCTTTTATTTGTCTTAGTCTTATTTTTCTTTGGCTTGGAAGTTTTCTTGCTTGCATCAATTGGTTGCAGCTTCACATTCACTGGATCGTAAGAACGTCTCAAGATTTCATTCATTTTTTCAAGAATGTTATCCACAAATCTGTTATACTTAACGATATAAACAGTCGGTACAGAGGGTTTCTTCGTCGGCTCTTCTTTTAATGCACCTGAATTTTATGCATAGTAAATTATAATTAAAACTACCGTTAATGAAATATATATATCAAAATATATATTTGCTAACTAATAAGATTTAACTAAGAAGTTTCATTCGATTCAGTAAATATACCTCATGATTCCAGTAAATCATGTACTATTTTAATTTTATTGACTGAAGTCCAAAGGTGATTTTAAATTTCAACCGTGTAGGTATATTTGTATACTAAAATAGTATTCTATAGATTTTCATTTCCTTACCTACTTATTAAAAACTTAACAAAATTTTACGTTTCAATTTAACCAGCAGTGAGAGCATATCGAATAGCTATCAATGACGTAGCCTGTGACTAAACTAAAAATAATCATTATAATAAAAGCTAGGCTCTAAGTGCTACAAAAACATTTGTTATCAGATACGAGTAAATCTCAACTTATATTTTATCTCGTTTCTATTACCTCCCTTCATAAAAACTGTTGAATAGGACAGCTTGCACCAATTAATGAAAGTAAAAAAAAACCTTAATGATTTATCGTACATAGTCACGATATGAAACATCATACTTAATTTTTTTCAATACGTTGCTAAGCTAATATTTACCTAGCCATTATATATTAACATGATAGCCGCGCTTCAATTACTATCTATAATTAGGTAAACTATAAATTCATAAAGCAAATCTAATTCTATTCACGTAAGGTGCGCACGCCATCGTGTAACTGTTTCTGTCACTGCGAGCCCGGGAGAATTCTAATGGCCAATAACAATTAATAGGACCACTCAACAGTGGATTTTCTATTTTCCACACGTAAAAGAAACTGCGTGCCGAGTCGAACATTCAAAGAAATCTAATTATATATTAGATAGTCAATTCACTAAAGCGCTCGTAATATTTCAATCAATCTTACTCAGAATGACGTTTACTAAAATTTGTTTTTATTATTCTTAATTATGGTATCATATTTATTACCACTATATTTATTAATCAAGCTAATTTAAAATGTAATGTTTTTCTCGTGAAAGGAGATAGTTACTACCGATTCGTTTTAAGTATTCTCAGTAGCAAACGAGTTTCATTCAGGTCGAATAATATGGCTCGCCTCGCAACTCTCCCAGAATTTCTCAACGGCAAACATAAAAATTTCTCTTTTCGCATCTCATTATTTTGTTTTCACTCACTGTGACACATGAAACGCAAATTTTACGGCGGTTTCGTCATTTAGTGAGAGTAAATATTTGGTTCGATTTACTTTCAATTGATCATCTTAACCATTGTGGGGGTCGTCAAGGTCACTTCCTGAACACTATTCGAGCAAGGTCAAAGAAAGTGTCAAGGCTGTAGAAGAAATCGGGAGAGTTCATTGACCTAGCTCCGGATGGGAAAGTAAGCTAACAACAACGAGATCCCCACTGTCGACCCCTTAACATACATATACATGAAACTAGTTCCTCCTTAGTAGTCTATTCATCATTCTCCGGAGCCCTAGCGGATGTGCGGGGTTTCTAGATCTGTATCAGTGGAACCTTGCCACTATCGGTAATAGAATCTCAACCATATAATGTGGCCAGCATTTAATGCTGGCATTTACACGTTAAGGAAGATATATAAAATGGGATCAGTTATTTATTCGTGCGTTAAACTACATATATATCGGTCAAAACGTATTGTTATTGTTACGTTATTGCAGTGAAGCATTATTGAAAAATATATACTTGTAATTCAAAGCTTTGTTAAAATATAGAAAATATACTATAATAGATTATTAATATTTAGAAGGGTTTTTATATAAATACATATAAGGTTTTTGACTAGTATATGTTTATTTTTTACAATCAAAATTAAATTAATATTACTAGATAATGTCACTCCAACTTGACAAATTGAATTAGAATTTTGACCGATAAATATATTTTTCTATACATCTAAATAGATGTTTACACACGAATTTTTGATGAAGGCAGTGAAGTACAATAAAATTGACACCAATTTTAACAAAAAGATTTATTTAAAATAAAATTGCCACTGAACTGTTGTGACATGATCTAGACATTAATTTAATTTTTAACTCTTTCGATACTTACACTTTCACACGTCAAGCACGCTCACTTAATAAATAAAATAAATAGAATAAATAAATAGTCAATAAATAGCTAAGCTAAAGGAGGGGACCATGGGGCCTCTCAGGTGGATATTAGGGCGGATCACGCCCGATCTCTGGCGCCCGCTAACTATCTAAACTTTTTGTGCTCGGCAGGTGCAGCCGCAGCAGATGATGCCTTGGTTTTCTTTACTTTGACATGGCTAGCTTTTTTTCCGCTCTTTTTCATGTGCTTCACGAATGACTTCAGTTTTTTAGACTCACGTGCTTGTTTATTCCTGCCAAGAGCGTCAGTGAGTTCGTCGTCATCGTCATCGTCATCTTCATCGTCATCATCCTCGTCATCATCATCTTCAGGGTCGAGAGCATCAGTGATGTCGTCATCTTCCTCCTCATCATCGGAATCGGCAGCGGCTGCTGCCTCTGAACTGGCGGCAACAGGGGATTCTACTTCAGCGCTTGCGGGCTGTTTTTGACCAGCTTCGACATCATCGACTTCAGAAGCTTCTTCAGCAGCTTCAGATGCATTTACTTCTTCCGAAACTGCTGCTGCTTCTTCAACTGCAGCTACAGGTGCTGGTGCAGCCGCCACAGTATCAGCAGGTGCTACGACAGGTTGAACACCAGCGGAGTCTTCATCGTCGTCATCATCATCACCTAGCAGAAGACAGAAAAGTTTTATATGTGTGTTCTTTGTATTTTGTACTACCATAAATTTCTATTAAAACCTCTATATATATTTATATAGACATCTGTTCTTACCTCCTAAGATGTCATCGAAGAATCTTTCTAAATAATCGTCTTCTTCATCATCGGCTTCATCATCGCCTTCCTCATCATCATCGTCATCATCTTCGTCGTCGTCATCGTCATCTAAAATAAAGGTTAAAGTTAGACTCTAGATATAATTTTATCATAAATTTAGTTTGGCCTACATTTACAATTAATAAAATATTCTATCATAAGTTTTCTACATAAAACAGTAATATATCCGTTAGATATCTTAAAGCGTGCTATCTAAACGGTTAATCGAATTCCGCGCTGGTGCGTGACATCCTGAACCATCCAACTGTGGAAAGCGGAGTGGCTTCAATTTCTCTGATTGAGTCTTTCTGTATGAATTAATTAACAAATGAGAGCACCTGTCACGCTGTTTGACTTAAATTCCGTTGTAACTATGTACCTATTGATTAATTTAAATATTTATTGATACTTGTATCTTAAGAACCGGAACAGAATTATATAAAGGTAAAATCTAATTATTAGCTTCGTAACTTGAAAAATATTATAAAATCGTTTATTAGAAAAGTTAATCTACAAATACACACATAAAATTTAAATTTACATCGATAAATGAAAGTATGTAATAAAATCTTAATATAATTTTATGATTATTATAGTCGAAACCAATAAACCTAACAATAATAAAGGTAGAGAAATGACGATCTTATATTTATCAAGTGAATGCAAAGCTTTTCATAATATGGACACTCTTCTTGTTTCTTTTAATATAATATTTTATGGTCTGCCTGAACTGTTCATTCACACAAAACGTATATATAACCTAAGTGTAGCTTTGATTTGAAAGATTGAACTTGTTATGTTCAGTATCTCGGCAATTAATGTTATAAAAATATAAAATTGAATGACATAAATATAGTACTATTTATATTTTTTACAACAAAATCAAACATATAAATATATGAAATTAAAATAGTTTATATATGTATATAATAAATATAGACATCTCTAAATTACTACTTATTTTTACAAAATCTAAACGAAATAATTTTATAATTTGAAAATAGATCTGATATAAATACCTGCCAAGGGGTCATCTAGATCAACATCATCATCATCGTCATCATCATCATCATCATCGTCATCAGAAGCGGCCGGCGCAGGCGCAGCTGGGGCGGCAGCCTGCCTGCCTACTTCCTTTTGGCTTTCATCGGAACGGAAAACTGGGCCAGCATAAGCCGATAAGACTAGGCAGCACAGCGCCGCTAATAAAAACAACGACCTCATCTTGTATCTGAAACAAATAGAGGCCTTTAAATATCACAGCCAAATTGACCGCAACAGTGTCCTACGTTGCCACTATCACAGCACTATCACAATCACACACGTGCACTGACGTCCTAAGCTCACTTCACCTTTGACTTTTCACTGTTGAGTCCTTCAGGCTCCAGCGGAAGAGGTTCCGCCCGCGTCCTTTTTATCGGTGTTTGGGACGCTATGACCGTGGTTGGCGATCGGAAACGGTATAGCGGCGGCGTCTTCAACGCACACTCTTTTATAGAGTTACGTCACAGTCGCGGGGAAGGAAAGTAGTGATGGTATCCACACTGGACATAGATCAGAGACCGCGAAGACTTTCACCGTCCGCAGTTGCTTGCCCAGTAACGTATTGTATTTAGATAACGTAACCTTACAAAACAGATCATCATAGATAATACATACAACATTTCTCATTACTCAATTGTTGATTGAAGTCTTTGGAAAGATTCGTATATTTTTATAGGTAAAATACATCAATCAATCAATTTTTTAAATTTATTGGCATAGATCAATTGGCACATCTGTTTATTTTGTAGTCTATTCTATGAATTCAAGAGGGGTTGGTAAAGTTCGATTGACTAATTTATTCAAAGTATTTGTCGAATCGGCATGTCTAGTTGGAGAAAAGTATAGTGGCGTGTGGTTTCGGAATCTTAAAATGTTTTAGACATTAGTATGTGTGGACCTGCCCCATACTTTCACTTAAGGTTATGTATGTAAATGCGTCTAAAGTGTAATTGATAACGTGACGTAAAATCGAAGGCAATCGATTGGGAAATATTGCCACTTTTACTCAGCTATTACGATAATTTATTGCCTGAATGATCTTAATAGCATCTAATAGACTGTACAGTAAAGTTGATGATAGCTGTTTAAATTTTAAATTTCGAGCACAAAAGTTTTAAATAACTCGGGCTTTATTCTTTTTACCTGATAATATATATATATATATATATATATATATATATATATATAATACCAGGTAAAAAAAGTAATTTATGATAATATGTGTGTATATGTATAGCTATATTTATATTTTAAACGAATGTTTATGTAAAATTAAAAGCAATATAAATTGTAAAAATTATTTTGTGGATATATAGAGAACATATCAATGTAACTATGTATATAGTAAGCCAGTTCAACATTCAGTCGGTCGGCGACCATCACGTATAAGCGCATGTCTGACAACTAGACAGGGCTCAGTGGGAGCTAAGTTATGTCTCGTTAATAGGTCGAGCCACCACGAAGATTATAGACATAAGAAAACTTATTTATCTTTATGCAGCGACAGAACTAAAGCAGTTTGATTATTACTGCTATTTATGAAAAATCCCGTTTATTATACAGTCTTTACATGTTTAAAAATAATGTTTTTAAAGTAGACAAATGTATTAATATCTGTAGCTTCTTTAGTTTAATGTTGGGAAAATATATAATCAACGCCAAAACTAAAACGCATTCCTACTCAGATTTTCCGTAAAATAAAGATAAAAATCACATCATCATAATATACATACATACGTATGTATGAAGCGTTTGATTATCAAATTGTTATAGTTTTTAGGATATTACAATATTGCGAAAGTTACATTATATTAATTAAGTATTATAAATTTGTATATATATATATATATATATATATATATATATATATATATAGAAAAGAAATCGCGATATGATTTGTAATCGATAACTTAATCATAAACATTTCATATCAGTCGTACAGGTTGATATCGCGAGCTTCCAAGCCGAGAAAGGTCTAAACCCGTTTTCGGTATTGTAGGTGGCTACAAATATTTGTATGCGGCTTGTGAATGGACCTCGAAGACTTTCTCTCGCCCCAACTAAGTCTAACACACACACCAGCAAACGCTCCTGTAAACATTATGTGCAATAGGTATATTAATTTAATGTTTTTTAAGCTATGTTTTTTTTAAATAATAAATACTGTAGAAATATTATAAAACCAAATCAATCAACGATAACAAGTAGTAAAAACCCTTGTACAATAAGTAAATCAAGTTAAATTAAAAAAAAATTTTTTTTCAATTTATCTTTATTAAAAAAAATGGTGGAATACAACAGATTTATATTTATTTTTAAAGACTTACATTTGTATATTGTGACAATTGGCGTCATATGCCACAAATATCTACACATACAAAGCATGGTTTTCGTAAGGTCAACGTATTCGCAATGCGGCATGGTTACTCTACATGTTTGAGTTACTCATTTTCTCTATAGACTTTTTAGCTCAATATAACGATTTTAATATTTTTACACAGTGTGTGAGATATACTATAAAAAACATTAGAAAAGAACCATCTTATGTCTGCGATTCCGGACACACTAGCTTTCTTTTAACGATCGGAAGTCGACAGCCTATATACAAGCTTAGAAAATAAATTCAGATTAAAAATTATATATATTAATATAATAATAGTTTGATTATTTGAAAAGTTCGCGTTATAATAAAAGTAAACAATTTTAAATTACCCAATTTTCTCTAACAACCTTACAAATCTATTATCTAATCGAGCTTTTCTGACGCTAAATGGATAAAGCTATTTCTAAGAAAGAAAGTCAAAATGGTCTTACGCAACTAAAGAATTCGCTTATAAGTAAAATTTCAAAACATAATATTCTCGCAGTTTCTTTGCGGATATTAAAAGAAAGTTTGTGTTTACTTCATCATCCACGACTTTGACGTTACACTTAATTTTAAATAACTTTACGGATTTCATTATAATTTTAGAAACTTATTTTCCTTATAGTACCAATAATTATATATTAAACATCGATAATCGGCAGATTTTTAGCAAACAAATAAGTATAATTAATCACTTGAAAATTAACTTTAATTACGTTTCTATTAATCATACTTATAATTATTAATAATTTTTGTACACTAAGTATTTATTTACATAATATATACGTATGAATATTTCAGAATGGATTAAAAGTTACAAAAGATTTCAAGTTAACTAAAGATATAAATCTTTAGTTTTTACAACTTTTTAAATTTTCGCGTTCCATAATTTGAAAGTGTATCGAATCTATCGTGAATCGGATAGACGTCATTTTTGCATATTGTTTATGTTACAATTATAGTATCTATTATATTTTTACCGACATAAAAAAACGGGTTGTCTGTATTTTTGGTATGGCATATTCTGCGGTACCTTCACTAATTGTGAATTAAATTACATTATTCTCTTTTAAAACATACACTCCTAATGATAAGATAAATTTAAGTAATTTAAAAGTTAGTGATGACGGAAGCAAGAGTAAATCATTAGTATCATATAAATGCTTATTATTTACTATTAATATTAATTATAAATGAATTGTAAATATTATAATATTAATTGAACGCAAGACAGTGTAAAGATATAATTTCTCTTTACATGCACCGCCAGGCCGATATGTTAGTTTCAAATAGCTTTACCTCAACGAAGTCAGTCGGCTGTATTAACAACTGAGTACAGTTACATCTCAAGACCTGTGTAATACGTTATGCCAACTTCACGTCATATATTAGAAACATGTGTTAGTTACGGTCAAGTTAACATTAACTTTTGTGTAAATCTACTATAACGTTTTATTTTAAGCATTTAGCATAATTATTACTGAGAAAATAAATTGTACAAACATTTAGAGAAAAATCGATTAAGAGTGAGTCTGGCAACGCGCAACAAGAGTGCCGTACAATTTAACATTAAGTTTCATATTATGTTTTTACGTCGTACATTTACACTAATGCATTTTATGGACAGTAAAAATATAATTTAATTTTAAAATTAAATGTACTATAAAAATAAATTGCTGCCGAAAATATCTTAATCGTAAATTTCTCTGAATGATGAAAAATTTAATCTATACATACAAAATTTAATCTATACATACATAAAAATCGTTTTTTTTGTTCGATTATACTGCGATAAGTACTGAACCGATCGGAATAATACACATTCCATAAGATGCAGCGTATTTCGGAGAAGGTTTTAGTATATAATGGGGATTATTGATTAATGTACTATGCGGGCGGAGCCGCAGGAAAACGCTAGTTGAAAATAGTTTGGAAATACTGTTGTCGGATTTACATCCCATACTTTTAAATTTAAATGTAAAATTAAATTAAGTATTTATTAATTAAGTAGGCTGTAATACGTAGGGATTACAAACAGTTCACGAGCAAAGAGACTTTTATTTATGGAACCCTAAAATATGTATTTACATATATGTAACTGTAATTTGTACCTACACCTAATTTTGTTATTATTATTTTATTTTATTATAACTCGGTCGACCTATTAAAGATCTATATTAAAGCAAAACGCGACTGCTTCCTAAATATAATAATCAATTGAAATAGAAATATCACAACAACCAACAACACACACTAATAGTATTTCATATATATTCAAATTGCAGCTTTTTAGGAACCGCTTGTATTCTAAAAACAAATTGTAATTTTGTGTAAATCAGTATTTAGTTAACTGGATTTTTCAGTACCTTTTATCTGATGGGAATTATTTCATTTTCTTATATAGATCGTAAATGTAAAATCATTTAATGTTTTCATTACTTCATGATTGGGATACAACCAGCTAGATATAAAAATACGACATCTATTCTGATAATAACAACTTTGCCTCAGTCTGTATCGATGGTCTAGTGGTTAACATGTACGGTCGCAGCTCCGGAAGTCTTAAATTCACGTCCCGGGTCGAGCAAAGTTTAGTTATTGAGTATATCTGAAAAAGTGACAGTAACATATCTCCTACGCACGTGGCTGATCTCACTGAGATTGGCCGCTGTGGCCGAAATCGGTCAGAAGGGCATTATTATTAATTATTATTATGACTACTTTACAACTTCATTATACGTGTAACTAAACAATGAAATATTGCAAATTGCAAAGATAATTTGGGAAAAAACTGTGAATATGATAATTAAAGTTT